TTTATTATAATTACATATACTCAGTGGACAGGTTTATTATAATTACATATACTCAGTGGACAGGTTTATTACAGTAGGAAGATTATACCCCAGTATGAAGTTACTTAATTTTTGGTCTGTTGTGAAATTATCAGGTAAAAGTATATCAACAGGTAAGTTATTTACCCTGCACAACAGAAGATAATACTGGACATGAAGTGTTTTACAAGAAACAAAAAATACATTTATTCTCAACGCACTACAAAGAAAAAATGGCAACTTCCACATTTTCCATATTCGCTTGTTACCAGCACGCAAGAAGACCTACCGATTCAACCAACGAGAAAATCAGATGTGTAAATAGTCAAGGTTAAGTACATTCTATTCATTTGGATCTTGTGATTAAGTAAATAAACAAACTATGTTCATAAACCCGTGATGAAATTGTAAAACGATTACATACTATGTTCATAAACCCGTGATGAAATTGTAAAACGATTACATACTATGTTCATAAACCCGTGATGAAATTGTAAAACGATTACATACTATGTTCATAAACCCGTGATGAAATTGTAAAACGATTACATACTATGTTCATAAACCCGTGATGAAATTGTAAAACGATTACATATATTTCGTTACTACTTTACATAGAAATCACACACACACACACCTTTATTATTATTATCAATCTGTCGATTCAGTCTTTAATTTTAAATGAAATATCATTTAACATTTATATCATTACCCAGCCTGATGCAATAGGATCGTAATCTTTAAGTCTGGACAATCCCTAACTCCATGCTACTGATACGGAATATTAAAGGTTATAGACGTCGTTGATATAAACAGCATACAGAAAATCATAGTAAATACAATAAATATGGTAATTTAAACTGTAAGTTCACAGATTTATGTGAAGTAAACACATTTAAAGTCACGAAAAAATTATGAATCAAAGAAAAATCCTTAATTCAGTTAAACATAAACATGAAAATGTGTATAAAAATAACCTTTATATACCCCTTTAACAACGTTTAAAGAAGCCAACATTCATTAGAATTAATGTACCTAAGAAATAATGACGCGTTTGAGGATTAAACTTTAATTAATAAACTGAACAAATGATTCTAAATTTTGAAGAAACAAAATTTGTACATTTACACGGTGATAAGCAACCGCTGTTGACAGAGTTCGAAACTGGGTTAATGTGGCTAAATACAATACATATAAGAAAGTTTTAGTTTTCCTTTATAAATGAAATATTATGTTTTTACTTTGTAGGTTTATTACTTCAAAATGGCAATACGTATCTCATTTCAATGTTTGTCAAATCACTGTATATTTTTATATAATATATGGATGTTTATTTTTTTTTGCACTTCATATTATATATATTATGTGACCAGCAGTATTTACGTTAAATGTTTAGTACAGAGAACCTCTTCTAAGTGTGGAAACTAACATTGTTAAAGTAAATTAAACAGAATTAACAAATAAAGATTTAATTAAAGTGAATATTTGCTGAAAATATAAATTTAGTAATTGATAGTAATTGCAAATTATATAAATACAAAAAAGAGTA